ACAATATCTACACATTCGGCAAAGCATTGTGATAGAAAAGAAAAGGCCTGGTTTTGGAGCCAAACAGCCTTTATTGCTCTCTGACATTGAGCAAGCTAAGCCTCTAAGGATGCCTCCTCATCTATAATCTGGCAATGATACCCACCTCACAAGTTTTTTTGTAAAGATTAGATGAGACACTTTATGTATCTATGGTACTTAGTATACTTAACAAAATATTAGTTTTATTACTTCCTTCAGACTTTCCCAACTTTTTCTAAACATGTGTACAACATAGTTACAGTATTTTTTTTAAACGTTCTATATGGAGAATTTTCCCACAGAAAATTATAGTACAATGAACTATACCTACTACCTAGGTTAAACAATTATTGATACGATCTCATATTTACTTAACCTCTCTATTTTCTTCTCCCTCTTTATTTTTTTCTCTTTCTCCCTTTCTTCCCCCACCCCCCACCATCTCCACTTTTTCTCTATATATTTTGTTGTTGTTGCTGCTGACATGGTAACATCTTTTCTCTTTTGGCTGTAGATATTATTTATGTCTTCAGCTTCGGCAGGACATAGTTGCAGGACGTCTGCCTTGTTCCTTTGCAACCTTAGCATTGTTAGGTTCTTACACCATCCAGTCTGAGCTGGGAGACTACGACCCAGAACTCCATGGCGTGGATTATGTTAGTGATTTTAAACTGGCCCCGAATCAGACCAAGGAACTTGAAGAGAAGGTCATGGAACTGCACAAGTCATACAGGTGAATATGTCTCCGGTGTTTGTTCTGTGTTTTGGCATTAAGTTTAAACCCTTGATGTGGTATTGATTCAGTGTTTGCCTAAGAGGGCACAGAGTGCCATAGAAAGAGTCAGTGTGGGCTCAGTTACCTCCAGTGTTTGACTTTGAGCAAGTCATTTAATTCTTCTTAACCTCAATTTTCTCATCAGAGTAATAGGCATTTTGTTGTAGGATGAAAACAAGGTAATATATGTAGGATGTAGGATGAAACAAGGTAATATATGTAAAGCACTTACCACAGTGCCTGAAACAGCTCAATAAATGATTGCTATTATTATTATTATTATTATTATTATTGCCTTACCTTTTTTCCCCCAGATTTAAAAGTTCTTATACTGTATTAGGTGCCTTGAGATCCTTAGAGCAAGGGTTTTTAACTTGAGATCTATGTACATGGATGGATTTCAGAGGGCCCATGAAACCCCTGAAAGTATTTTTAAAAGTCTTTATTGAATTCACTAACTATATTGCTTTTTTTCATGAAAACAATTGATGATGTTGGGAGGTTTCATAACACAATGATCAAGAACAAGGGTTTGTAGTCAGTCTGAGCTGGGTCAAAATCTTGACTCTGCTTGGTCCTGGCCTTGTGACCTTAGGTAAGTCATTTATAACCTCTCTGAACTTCAGGTTCCTTATATTTTTGATGGAGATTATTACCTCAGAGGAAATAGGGTGATTGCTAGCTTTAGAAGAGGTAATGTGTGTTTAATAAAACCCTTAATACAATGTCACAATGTCTTTCACATAGCAAAAATTCAATAAATATTAGCTAATATTAAAGTGCCAGAAGAATTTGTGTTTCCTCCCACCATATATTCATTGTTATTTGAGTGACTTGCTATAGCTAAATTTTACAAGCTGCCTTAGTATATTAATGTGAAAGTCAAATCTTGGCCTTGAGTTAGTATCCTGAGTTATGTTAGTATGAGTTAGGTTACCAAGCTCCAAAGGGTCACACTGCTCAAAGAGAAATCGGAAGAGTGGTCTCAGTAGGCTTGCCATGGTAGTAGCAAGTATTCTGTCTTGCTGTTGAGTCTTCTTGTTCTCCTTAGGGCATTTCAGTTAGGATTGCATGGATTGGGATGCTTCAAATAAGAGAGATTTAACTCAAGGTACTCCAATTCTGGGTGCTTTATTGCCCCTGTGGGTTCAAGGACCTCAGTCATGAGAACCACAATAAGGATTTTAAAGTTTGCAGCCTACATAGTAGTAGTTTTATAAGAGTCACCCAACTCTCATGGGGTCCCACTATTTCCAAAGAGAACTACCAGTCTGCTTTTCAAGTTGGAACTTACACATTCCAATGCACTGATGTCTGGGATCACTAAATACACCACTTTCAGCTTGTTGATAATTAACTTAAGGATATTACATTGTCTTTGAATACATTTTTAATACTTTTAATCATCTTCTGGTTATGATTCTAAAAGTTTATATATAAAAATATTAATACATGTACACATATACATACAGAAGCAAGTACTGGAAAGAAACAATCAATTAAAATGATTTGTTATAGAATGTCACGATTATAGGGAAATTTTTTTATTTTCTAATAACTTCAAAATAATCTTTATTAGTAGTAGTATAAACTTTGAGCAATCAGTAAAATAGTAAACGAAAATATTTTACTGCTGCCATAGAGCTGAACGGCAGAAAATGCTGGTGTCAGAAATGATTGATACTTTAAATCTCTCTGATGATTCTTCTAAAGGTTATTTGATCAAAACACAATCTCGGATATAGGAGGACTTCATATAGTCTCTCACGCAATTCTTGACTCTCCTTCACAGAATTGTTACATAATCATAATAATTTTAAGTAGCTAATTGTACATCTATTCTTATGTGCCAGATATGATACTAAGCACTTTATGCACAATATCACACTTAATCTTTATAACCACTCTATAACCGTTCTTTGAGTTAGGCCAATGTTTCTTAAAATGTTGGTCAAAATGTTCTCAAAAGGTAGTCTACAAACCCTGGTGGTCTTTAAGATTCTTTCAAGAAGTCCATGAGGTCATAGTTATTTTCATAATAATAGTAAGATATTATTTGCCTTTTTCATTGTGTTGAAATGGGCGGAGCACAAATCAAGGCAGTTGCACCAAACTACTAAGCAGTCATTATATTGTTCACCAACATGCACTTGCAGTTAAAAAATAAAAAAGGCCAGTTCACCTAAGAATTTTCTTAATGAAGCAATATAAGGTATTAATTTTATTAAATCTCAAATACATTTCTATTTAATACTCTGTGATTAAATGGGAAGTACACATAAGGCATTTCTGTACAATAGTTGTCTCAATGAAAAGCACTTGTGTAATTTGAGTTGTGAGCTGAATTAGCCACCTTTTCTGTATAACACCACTTTTTTTCTGGAAAAAATGACTGACAAATGATTATTGAGACTCAATGATTATTGAGACTTGGTTATTTGGCATTCATTTTTTTTTTTTTTTTTGA